AATAATTTGCATGTTCATAACTGTTCAATACAACAAAATATTAAAAAAAAATTTTATGAATGATGAATTAATTGATTTTATGACCAACTTGATTTTAGCATTTTATCAGCAAATTTTTAAAAGCGTTTGACGATAAAAAAACGTGTTACACATATCTCGTACAAAATTCATAGACAACTGTCGTTTTTGACAGTTCGAAAAAACTTTTGAATTTGACTAGTTGGCGAGTACCCAATTATGCTAAATTATGCTAAATTCTACATTAATCAAAAAAAGTCATAAGAAAGATATTCGCAAGGAGGATAATAATATTTTGGTAAAAAAGCCGACTTAGTTTTTTATGCTTGACAGAGTTCACGTACGAAATTATACGTACACGATATGCTTTGTAAAACAAAAAGTTCTGAATCATCGAAACTCAAGATTTTGATTGCACGAAATTCTTGTCATTACGAAGTACTTATAGTATCATCAAAATGATGTTTGAAACGTGTGATGACCATTTTTTCAAACTTACTGCGGTTTTAAAATCATCATCTTATGTTTGTGTGTTTCTTTTATTATACTTCGAAATGTTTGCGGAATGTTTTTGTTTAGTTTTTTCGTCTTGCAAAAAATTTGATTGTGTTGTTGGTCTAGTTGCAATTGTGGCTATTATGGCCTAAGTAGATGTTGAGGTTCATAAAAAATCTTTGATTTTAGGGAGGTAGGTACTTGGTTAATCTGTAGGTGAAAAGATTCTTACTAGTCTTTTTACTGTTCCTTCCTTTTTACTTTCGTTTATTGACATTAGTTTGTCAATAAATGTTTTAGGAACAGCTTCATGCTAATCATCAAATATTGAACTTAGCGTTCTCGCTTAAGACTATTGACCTCATTACCAGATCAACTGTGCGAATTATTGTTAAAACCTTTTTTTTAACAAAGAATATGCAACTAGTCCGTGTACATATCTAAAAATTTTTCTACTGCTCAACCCCCAAGTGGTCACCGGTGACCATTCTCCACTAACTCCATTATAGACTTTTTTTCCGATGTTTAGAGACTACTTTTGTATGAAAAAAGTTTCGGTACGATAATTATCAACGTATTAAAAGCTTTTTTTGAACGTTGCTCCACACTAGGATTATCTCCTGTGACGTAGGTGCGTTTAGAAACATACAAGTTCACATACACATAACACCCAGACCCGAAACAAAAATTTTTGGATCACACAAAGAGTAGCTCCGTGCGGGAATAGAACCCGCGTCACGTTGCCCAGCCAATGCATCAACCATTTGTCAAAACTATTTCATTCTATAATTTTTATCAACACATCAGCTTTCCATTCCATGCCCCACATTACCGTCTAAATAACGCCTTTAACCCAGCCTACCAGCATTAGAAGAGAACCCATCATAATTTTGACGGAGATAGTCTTAAACACCAACATTTCTATCGAGTTATGTTGTACTGTACGTCAGTTTGAGTTCAGAGTAGTGCCCCACGGTCGGTCGGCGGAATCGTAATGTAACTGCGAAGTTACTTGTACGAAATGCTTCGGAGGTTCGGAGTATGAAAGAGGTTTGGATATGGTATAATAGCATATATTTTTTTTATGGGACAAGCCAGTATACGAACAGACGTATCACCTGATGGTACGGAATCTGCGTCGCCTATGAACACTAGGAATCCCAGAAGCGTTACAAATGCGTTACCGGCCTTTTGGGGATTAAGAATTGTTGGGGAAGATTGTTGGGGATCCAGCATCATGCAGCTCTACCTTCGAATAACACTTTATAACAAGCACCTAGCTTCACTAACAATTCAATTTATTGTTTCAAAAGTGCCTAATCAAGGATTAATATAAATAAATGCTTTGATTTTGACTTTTAACAACCACACAAAACTATTGCAAACTCTTTTCTTAACTTCTTCATCCCCTCACTCTGTAACTCCCACATCCAAATAATCCTACCTCCACTGAAAGCCCAGACATATATTATCAATAACATACTATCGTGTACCTGTTTAAACCGCATTGCGAGACAAAATATTAAATTTTCATCTAAACCTTTCCTCCATATATCGTGTGGACGACAGATCCCACGGTGTTTCACGATCACGACCACATTTTTGCCATAAACAATGGTATTACAATGTTCGTCTGTTTGCGGAAATAATATTAATAGAATAGTTATATGAATTCAGGAGTTTTTTTAGTTCTATGTACCTAATTTTTATCGTAGGGTTCGGTTTATTGTTGTAGGTTCGGATAGCTGTAAAAATTTAATTATATTAAAGAAGACTGAATGCTTGACTAAACGTTAGAGTTTCTTAAAGTATTTACGTTTGTCTAAATAAAATGTGATTTAATAAATTTTTGGTAAGTCCACGCGGTTTTCCAAGTCATATACTTATTTGGTTAACCGAAAATATGTTCTGACGTTAGAATACGTATACATTTACTAAACTTACAGTTTCTCTGCATCTGGCACTTCACTCATAACGTGTTATAAAATACCATAGAAACTGATTTAGCTTAAAAACCTTAAAAACTCATTCTATAATTGGACCACAACAATACCCAGAAACGAAAGCACAAACTAGTCAACTTCCTCAACCAAAATGCTTATATCCAACAACAATTTGATTTAACTTTGCATGACAGTTAACCATATCCGATGAAACGATAATTGAAACAAATTACAAGTAAGTTCGCGTGTTCAACTAGTGTGGGAAACAATAAACTTTGTACCCATCGTCCTACACAAAACCAGTCTAAACTGACCGTTGAATGCACAAAAAGATTATGCAACGCCAGACCAAGACAACTGGCTGTATAGTTTGAAGTGCCGCGTGTACAAAGAACCACGATTTGAATCTCTGTGATGTATTAATGACAACGTGACAGGAAGAATCGCCGCACCGCTGTAATTTGTGTATGTAGCACGCTATTTCCATGTTGACGGAATGAAACTGTACTTAGTAGTGTTAATTATTTAGTTGAATTTTGATTGGCAAACGGTAATGTTTGCTTCCAAGTAAATGGTACTTAAAGTTTGAAACTTGGAACTGTTTACCGCTTCTTACGCACGTACTTTACAATCATGATCGCGATCGCAATTTCTATTCCTGAATGTGACACAGATTTGGGCCCTGCTTCGGCTTGTAAAGGCAAGTAATGTCAATATACATAAAATAATAAATCAGAGCATTTTTGAATCAATCATTTTACAAAGTACAACAGTTAATCACTACATAGTATAAAACAAAGTCGCTATCCGCCGTTTGTCTTTTCCTATGTATGCTTAGATCTTTAAAACTACGTAACGGATTTTGATGCGGTTTTTTTTTAATAGATAGAGTGATTCTTAAGGAAGGTTTATATGTATAATACATGCATATTCCACACGTGCGAAGCCGGGGCGGGTCGCTAGTATTTTTATAGAGTTCATGGCCGTTTGAGTGCAAAAGTTTCTCAATTCTTTGTTATTTTTTAGTTATTGCATAAAATCTACAGTTGCACCTGACTACAATAATATAACGACTATCAATTATTTTTGTTTACCATAATTATCATTATAACTGTAACCCTCAAGATGGCTCAACCTCCCATCAATAACATCATAAAAATATCATACAATAAAACAATCATCTTTACAACTTCGCTTATTAACACCATAACGATTTTCAAATTAAAAACCGTTCGGCAATCTTCGGGTTTTACGAACATTCACGAAGTATATGTTTATGTATAATCGATTGGAATTAAGATAATACGTTAGTCGATAACTTTAAGTTTGATTTCCTACAAAAAGGTTTATTGATCGAGTAATCCTAGTGCTGAAAAAGGAGTAGGTACTGGCCTTCAGGTCCAACTTCAAAGTCAAAGTCATAATTATTTATTTCATAAATGATGTTCTTTAGAACAAGAGGGCACTTATTTAACGTCAACAAACATAAGTGAAGCTCTCGATGTCTGGTATTTCATCAGAATTTTCGATTCTTCAAATTCTCGGTATATTTATGACAATGTACAGTTATTTATTTCCTCCTAGGTACACACTAGGTACACAGAATTGAAAATATATGTATAACATAACATTACGTCTTTTATCCCCGAAGGGGTAAGCAGAGGTGCACATTATGCCACTGTACAATGTAACACCCACTTTTCACTATTTATGTTATGAGTCCCATGTAATAGAGGGTGAGCCTATTGCCATATACCGGGCACAGCTCCAGACTCCGTGCTACTACTGAGAATTTTTCAAAAATCCAGTAATACTTTGCCGGACCCGGGAATCGAACCCGAGATACCTTGCCTGGCAGTCGCACAATTGCGACCACTCTGTCAACGAGGCAGCAACGCAATATTTTGCATGCAATGTATAATATAGTAATATTAGATTTGACTTAGCACTATGTGAAACTTATTCAGTGGAATCTAATTGTGCAACGTTACAACACACAACAACATCACGCCTTTATCCCCGAAGGGGTAGGCAGAGGTGTTCTGTGTGCACACAGAAGTAACACCCACTTTTCACTATTTATGTTATGAGTCCCATGTAATAGGGGGTGAGCCTATTGCCATATACCGGGCACATTTCAAGACTCCGTGCTACTACTGAGAAAAACCCAGTAATACTTTTCCCGACCCGGGAATCGAACCCGAGACCCCTTGCCCGGCAGTCGCACTCGCGACCACTCGGCCAACGAGGCAGTCAACAACGTGCAACGTTACTTACTTACAAAAGTCTTTAAATGTGACCTATTAGGAAATAGCAGATACCTCCCAAAGAGATATAAAGTAAATAAGCAGCTACTTACAATATTAGTACCATTGCATATGCTAAACACTTAACTCTATTGCAACACGATAACAACGTAAAGGAGATTATTATGACAGGCTACAATAAGGATAAAATATTACATCGTTGCAAACTTAACCTTCTGCAGCTGACGTGTAGTCCCACAGACACCGCGAAATACAAAATCACGTGTTATACCGTCATTTTTCAAATATGAGCGTCACTGCTGCGAGTACCTTACTGTATAGTGCTCGCGCGTCGGTCAGTGTGCGGCGGGGGGTCGCAGCGAGCGCACGTGTGCGTAGCGGAGGGAAGGTGTCCACGAGACTACCACGTCAGCGTTAAGGTAAGTGTCCACGAGATTACCACCTCAGTGAAATGGTTATATCTTCATAGTGTCTCCTAAACAACCACGTCAGTCATTGAGTTTCAATGATTTATTATTTCATGTTATTTTCCAATTTTCATAAACTATTATATCTATACTTATACTACTTACAATTAGGACAGATTTCTACTTTTGTTTGTAATCAATTAACTTGAATACAAAGCCGTTTATTTAACATACAAACAACATAACAATACATAATAATGTTATCTCTGAGTAACACAGGTTACAGGAAACAATATCTATACAGCACCCGCGTGTGCTTAAGTCGTGCTAGAAAACTAACAGTATTTAACTTGTTTTTAGATGGATATCTCAAGTGACACCCCTAAACCAAGAACTTCTGCTCGTAAGAGAACACCGGCTGGAACTTTTGTAAGCCATGAAGAGAAAATATTAAACTGGCTGGAAGAGGAAAGTGACGATGGCTTTAGTGGTATTGATGATGAAGATGGAGATCCAAGTTTCGAGCCTGAAATCCAACGTGATGAAGATGACGTAATTTCACGTGAAGAAGATTCAGAGTCAATCTTGGAAGTGCAACAAGAACCTGTTGTGGAGGTTGAACGTCAACAATCATCAGACGAGTCACAAGAACACTACACAGGTAAAAACGGTTTTATTTGGAGTGCACAAGAGCGTCGTGAAAATGAGGAGAGGAACTTTTTTGTTGAATATGGCCAGAGACTTAGTGCTGGATCATATGAAAAACCGAGTATACCATGAAAGATTGCCAAGGGAGCTGCGAATGACTATGACTCGAGTTTTAGGCAAGGATACGCCCCCTTCACCTCCAGTAGCTCGATCTGTTCCACCGAGTGGCAAAAAATTATGTTATATTTGTCCAACTAAAACAAAAAGACAAACTAAATACCGTTGCTGTGATTGTTCGAAGCCAATTTGCCTTCAGTGCTCTAAGCCACTGTGTGATAATTGTCAAACAAAGTTGTGATTTTGAAACTCTCTAGTTTTTAAGTTGACCAACGAATGTATCTCAATTTTCCTAGACTGATTAATGTTATTGTGAACTTTTAAAATGTATAATGTGAAATTTGAAAAAGTTGATTTTGTTATTTTTGTAGGTCATAAATGTTTAAGAAGAAATTTATAGACTGATTTGTGTTAAGTAAATAAACCTTGTTTAATTTTGAAAATAGATATTGTTTTTTTTTTATTTCAATTAAATATAAAATATAAAAAGGCAAGAAATCTAACAAACATGAATAAATTAGCTGCATACTTTAATTCTACAAAAATATTTGCTGTTGAAATGGTGTCTGGTATACTACCACCTCAGTTGAATTGTAACAATTTAACCACGTCAGTTGCAGAGGGTTAAAAAAAAACCCTCTACCAACCACATAGACCATAAACTATCAGACATAAGGTTGTAATTCCTGTAGCAGACAGTTTGGGGAATGTATGTTAAATGTTTGTGCGTATTGGCGGCATAGATAGACCAATGTAGCATGAATGATGTTTGCAATACATTAAAGCTTGTAAAATGACAAGGTAAATAAGTGCATTGTGCTACCGATATTCTAGTAGGATTATTGTAATTAATATTAGTTGGGTTGGAAATTAAAAATAGAGGTTTTTATTAATCTGAAGCGTGTAAGTAAATTTATGGTGCGTATGCTTGTTGTATCATTTCAATCGAGCGTCCGCCATCTTGAGTAATAACAATTAATAAGATGGCGTCATTTTTATTTCCATTTTACCAATGTTTCAATTTTACCAAAATGAAAGTCTGGTAGACTTTATTTTCTAAAGGAAATATAACTACATTAATATAAAGAACTTAAATTTAACTACAAATAATATAGTGAAATAAAAAAACAAAAAAAAATTGTGTGGATTTTTCTGTTTCAGTTTTAGTGATTGGGATTTGGGTTGTGTTAGTCAAATGGCCAAATTACCAAAAACAAAATCATATTCTATCTATTGATAAAGTATATAAAATTGTATCTTATTAACAGCATAGCCGTGAACTCTGGTTCATACTATAGTATATTGTAGACTTCCAATGATCCAGTCTGTATAATACTTGTGTATTCACCGAACAATTACACCATTATCGATATTTATGTTTTTATTCCATAAAATGTATCATTACCATCAACATTTTTCACTTCACAGCAAGGAAACAATTGAGTTTATAGCCAACTTAATGGCATCACGCATTGGCGACGACTGTACCAATAACCGCCGATTAAATTATACATAATCACCAACCACCGGGGGGATAGTCTCGAAAAGTCTTAAGAAAAACATATAAAAACCAATTTGAGGCTTGGCAGAAAAAAAAGGGGGAAAAATTCATTTATTTCTTACGATTGTCGGTCGTAAGATTACTGTACAGACTGACTGGGTTTCCGCCACTATAACAACCTTCATGGTCTTCAAAAATGATCTGCAACCGAACACGGTGTATGCAGCCAGCAAGAAAAACCTCTCACTTCGGCCGCCAAGAGACACCGTGTTCATAAATGGAATACTACCTAATGATAGTCCGGGCTGCGGTTAGACCATTATTAATTCTATCTCCCTCGCACTCGAATAACGGTCGTAAATTAAAGTGAGAGGGGTAATCAGAGATCCGAGGCTACGTGATCTCCATTACAGTCTGCTGATGCGTTTTGGATTCTTTTGTTCTTTTTTTTCTGGTTTTTAGATTAGTTATACGTGGTTATGTGAGATTACAGCGGTTGGAAACAATTGATATTTTTGGGGATATACTAGTCGTGTTTTGGCGTGAGAAGCATTCAATTTGTTATGAATTTTAACAATGTATATTTTAGAGCTATTTTTGGAAGGCACATTAAATATTAGCTCATATTGGCTGCTGGAATGAGTAATGGACATCAATGTTTGGTAATTATTCGTTCATTCTAAGAAGTTTTTAAAGTGTATGAAGATTCATTGTGCATAATAATACAAGGTATAAGCAAACAACGGTTCAGTTAAGCTAAGTCCCATTGACCAATAACAAATAATACCAAAAACAATAAATTTTTTGGAAACAAAGAAAATCACAAAACACAACAAAACGCCAATCCAAATGAAGTTACACCTGGCTCTAGACCTGTAGCCCTTGACATCATAGCCGTCAATAGAAAACAGGTAACACCTACAACACAGGCTAGATAAGTGGCCTATCTAAGCTAACAAATGGCAACAAAGTATCCATAGAATTTGAATATTGTTGTGAAATAAATAATCGATTGGGTTTGCTAGATTTCATCTAAATTTTGTACCGTTTTATGATTGATTTCTTCATACATACATAATATCACAGCTTCTATTCCCGAAGGGGTAGGCAGAGGTACATAATTCGGCACTTTATGCCACTGTACAATGTAACACCCAGTTTTTACTATTTATGTTATGAGTCCCAATAGGGGATCTATTGCCATATCCCGGGCACAATTCCAGACACCATGGTACTACTGAGATTTTTTTAAAACATAATAGTACTTTGCTCGACCTGGGAATCCAACCCGAGATCCTGCCCAGCAGTCGCTCTTGCGGTTACTCGGCCTACCCCTTCGGCGGGATAAGAGCGTGATATTATGTATGTTTAATAAAAATTACACTGCAGACTTCAAGGACCTTTAATGTGAAGAAAGGAATTGCCAGGAAATACCAAACCTATATTGCAGACACGTCTAGACTGTAACCTAATATATCTTTAGACATAATAGAACAATAGCCTAATATCAATAGGATGACCTCCAAATTATGGGAGAACCCGTACAAGTCTATTACAATTCTGACCATCATGAAATACCATGAGAACACTTCTATAGAATACTAATAAGTATTTTTGCCTATCTTGTACCTAAAACATGTACCGACGTGTTGTGTGATGGGATTCCCAAAATGTTTGAAACTATATTTAATGAAATTGTTTTCGATGATATGTTAGAATTTTAGATAAAGAAGAGCGAAAAATGTAAGTCAAGTTACAATTAACTTAACAGTAGCAAGCTACTGTGTCACAAAATGGTAAATAGTGGAACTGTGTCTAGTATAGTAATATTACTTAAAAAATAGGTGCTCTAAATACAGCAGGAGACATTAAAGAATAAATAACACGTGTCATATGTTGTCTGCTTACTCACATAACTATTTGACGAGGAACTCAACTAGTTTCAAGCCATGCTAGAGGCTCATATTCATGAGCGACATTCTATGACGCGCGACGCGGCGACTGTCGCGCTGCTACTAATGTTTATATATCTGTTCTATATTAACGTTAAAAAAAATTACACCCTGCGTTTGGCTGTGGATTTTTAAGGAATGAAATAATGAATAATATAATTAAAGAAAATGTAGGTACTGCTTATACAGATATACCTCTATAAAATTGCAATCTTCAGAAGCAAACAATTCAATATGTATTCCATTTCGTCTTCAATTTTAACAACACCTTATTTCGTTCACCTTTTATTACTGAAAGCTGTATGTAACACATAGCCGTTTATGTAATGAAGATATTCAAAGCAGGCCTGATAAATATTCATTCAAGAACCGATTTGATTTATAGATCCTAATAAATCCTTAGTTACCGACTTAACAGTAGTTACGCAACCATTAATGACTAAACCTGGTTACTGTTGGCATAATAAACAGGTAAAACTGGACTAAATAGGGTTTAAAGATCCCATTCGAATAATATGATAAAATAGATAAAACAGTATGTAGGTATTCCATGTACGATTTCACGTGACAACCATGCTTCGGCACGAATGAGCTAGCTCGACCAGAATTATACTACGGCCTTATGGTTTAGTTGGCGTGAAACAACGCTTGCGTTGTGTTAGGCCGCAGGCCTAAGGAGTAAGCAGTGTATTTTTTTTTATGGCATAAGCCGGTAAACTAGTGGATAGATCACCTGATTGAAAGCAATCGGCGTCGCATGGACACCTGGAACACCGGAGGCTTACAAGTGCGTTACCGGCCATTTGCGGCTTAGGAGTTTGAGGATAGTTGGGAATTCAGGGATTGGGGAGATTGGGGAAGGGGAGGGTAATTGGGCCTCCGGTAACTTCACTCACACGACGAAACACAACGCAAGCGTTGCTTCACGACGGTTTTCTGTGAGGCCGTGGTATCACACCGGTCAAGCAGGCCCATTCGTGCCGAAGCATGGCTCTCCCACACTTGCATATAAATTAATGTTGTACTAGTGACGCCATAAAAGACGCTATACCTGTTATAAAAGGAGGAGTTATTGATAAATGACTTGATCCCTATAAGTTAAGATTTCAAAACCAAAAGAAAATAGTGTACAACTATTCAATCAGACCTCTTTCTGCTTGTTTGATCCCCTATGAAATACTGAGCATATATTTTGATTTCGAGACTAACAAAACATGACATGTAGTCTTTATGTAACTATGTAAAAAATCCAGACAAATCCCGTATCCTTTTTAATTTACCTCAAAACATCGGTATACATTACATTTTATATAATATGAAATTACGCCAGGCGTTTTCTTGGGAAGCATAAAATTTAACGACACATCGACGAAGCCGCGGTGAGATCTAGCATTCAATGCGGACATCAGTCTTACTCATAGCGTTGGCGGCAACAAAATTATACGCAGATAAAATTGACATTTTCTGGGATATTCTATTGATGTTTTCAATTTCCATGAATTCCTATTTATTAGAAAATTTATTTGATCCAAAGCTCTTTGATCGTATCGATCAAGGTATCAGCAGATTTACACATCAATCTAACCTTTTTATATTTCACTGGAAATGAAAGAAATTAATGTATAAATCAGACTTTTTCATGCACTTGCTATTAAAAGAACAGTTATAATGAACATTAAAGGCAACGGCCACATAAAACATAATTTGATGCAGATACACTTGAATCAAACCAACCATTCACACAGTCCCTACCACTTATCACGTAGTTACGTAAATAGTTCAACTTCTCATAAGCAGAACATAAAAAAATAATAACCATACTTCCTCGCATTACCTCGTGTGCAATTCGCTTTAATTAAAAAGGGGGTGGGGTTATTAAAATAATTACGCGCCGCCCCTTGTCCAATCAGCAGGCGCGGCGGTAGAACCACCCAATTAGGCGACGAGACATGCCTGGATCATGTGCAAGCGCACGACACGGTTTTTG